GCATTAAAGAGTAAGTTTATGTGACAGTTTAAATTTTTGGGACATTTATGGAAAATGTTGCTGGAGAGCAAGGTCTTGCCCTCCGACAACTCTTAATTTTTTAAAAAATTCAAACTGTCATAAAATCTCATTGTTTAATGCCGGGCTTTTTCCATTTCTGGCATTCTTTAAGTTATAGCCCGTAATTTTATGAAAAGTAGATTGCGATTGTCTAGCTGCAAAGGGCCTATTCAGCTTTTGTGTAGCCTGCGACCAGGTTCTCAAACATTGCAGGAGCAAAGTCGATGAGCAAAGTCGTGAGAGATGAGTCAGCGTGCAAAGCAAGCCACTGAGGGGCCTGGCACAAGAAATGAGAGCCTGCTTGGAAGGCATTGTTTTTTAATACAGTGAGTTTGCCCACTAAGGCAGCCTTCTGATTGGTGAAAAATGACAGGTCCTATCAATATGACCAAAACCAGCAGTAATTATCAAACACTAACATGGCTTGGCATCCAAGAATCCAAGTGTGGGATTTATCCTGGAAGCTTTTTGAAGACTTTCCATCAAAGCAAATAATCTGTTCGATCTAAAACAAGAAAGGGAAAAAGCTGGAAATTGTCTTTCAGAAGGAAGGGATGTTTTTGTAGTTATGCCAACTGGATACAGTAAACGTTTTATATTTTAGCTGTTTGCTGCTGTAGTGATGACCAAGAAAGCTCGTGAAGGGCAACATTTCAGATACTGTAATGATAGTAACTTGCCCGCTAACCAGCATGATTCAGGATCAGGTAAAGGACAGAAAATCACCCTGTGTAGATTTTGTTGTGATTAAATATGTCAAAGATTTGTCCAACTTTGGGAGCGGCAAAACACAAGCGCTATTTGCATAACTAAAACTAAACCCTCCACGTGCGATTTGCCATCACGCTTGTTGATGTTTTTTCTCAATTTCTATTGGCTAATAATATGATACATTAAGCTAGTGAGTTGTCAAAATCTTGACACCTTTAGAGGGGCTGTATTCAGAAAGCAAAAGCATCAGTGCAGGTTCTCAATTTCACTGCCTTGCTTAGCTCACAGACTCTCTCTTTGTTCACCGACAGCTTTGTTTGTGCCACTGACAATGAGAACCTGCTTGCAGGCTACAGCTTTTGTGGGCTGACTGGCTGAAATTGAGTGGGAGTGGGGTGGGGGACGTAAACAGATTCTGAGTGAAAAATTTGGGGAATTTTTGAAGCCCCTGTGTTATCTTTTATCTGACCTGAAAAACAACCTGAAATGAATTATCTACTTATTAAGTTGGCATTAAGTTCGAGCCCTAACCGGGAACTTTGTGTTGTGTTCTTGGGCAAGGCACTTTACTGTACTCTCACAGTGCCTCTCTCTACCCAGGTGTATAAATGGGTACTGGCAAATTTAATACTGGAGGTAACCCTGCGATGGACTAGGATCCCATCCAGGGGGAGTAGAAATGCTCTTAGTCACTTCATGCTATGGAAACCGGGATAAGCCCCAGCCTGATGGGCCGCTTGGCTCAAAATTGCAGACTTTACCTTACCCTAGNGGGGGGGGGTGTTGTTTCAGTTGGCAGACCTAACTATTGGCTTCCACGAGTTTTAGAAAATGTAATGTCAGTGCAAAAAGTTTAAACAGTCATCCTTCTTCTTAGGTCAGTAGGGAAGATTTGTTTATCACATCTAAACTATGGAATACAAAACACAACCCCAGTGATGTGCGTCCTGCTTTGATGGACACTCTTGCTGACCTGGGACTGGATTATCTTGATCTGTACCTCATTCACTGGCCTATTGCTTTAAAAGATGGTGATGAGCGGTTCCCTAAGGATGATGGAGGCAAGCTGATCTATGCTTATCATGATCCATGTGACACTTGGCAAGCTATGGAGGCACTTGTGAATGACGGGCTTGTCAGAGCAATTGGTAATATTTTAGTTTATTTTTCCTGCAAAATATATGCATGTAATAATTTCCCCCCGTACAGAAACGTGTTGATGACCTGCAAAGGAAGCTGAAGGGATTGTAAGCCATAAGCCATGGACTCAGGCTTTTAGCTAGATGGGTGTCCAGGCATCCTGTGGACTGCCACTTTCTATAGAAAATTGTTTTATTTTTCGTATGCTGCCTTAAAAATTGCTCATTTGAGCAGTCCCTATAACACATTTTGGATGGCCACTTTTCAAATTCTGGCTTAAAGCCTACATGGTCTGGTAGAAAAAAAATATTTTGTGGTNGACAGCATACAGTCCTCTGGGATCACCTGATCGTCCTTGGGCAAAGCCAGGAGAACCTACACTGATGGATGATCCCAAGATGCTGGAGATTGCTAATAAATATGGCAAGTCCCCCGCCCAGGTCTGCATCCGTTTTCAAGTACAGAGGGGTGTTTCTGTTATACCCAAGAGTGTTACACCTGCTCGCATTGAAAGCAACTTTGAGGTAAGTTTGTTAATTAAAACATTACCCTGTTTACATACATGCGCATTATGCAAAACTGTTAGTAGTTAACAGTTGTGATGAGTGTCTTTTCCCAAGAGACAAGAGCAAGGTGTCATCTCCCTGTCAATAAATTTCATTAATGTAATTATTATCATCACTGCAATTATATAATAGTATACTGTTGGGTGTACAGTTTTAAGGGAAAATCAAGTGCTGGCCTGAAGCCTGAGAAATTAAGTCAAAGTTTTAAATTTTTAAACATTTGGATCAAACTCGGCCCATCTTCGTAGTCTTCTACATACTACTCAGCTGCTTTTTCAGCTCGTCTTGGGTGAATCCTAGAAAGTGTCTATTAATCAACTTGTTATGCAAGACTCTTTCCCACTTGGAGAGGAGATTGGCTGTGGAAGAGAATATTTAATATATACATCTCAAAGTTCTGTCAGTTAATTTAGGTGTAGTCTGTATTTCCGACATTTTTATGTATTTTTGAATACAGGTTTTTGATTTTGAACTCTCTGATGATGACATGAAGGTTATTGAATCGTTTAACAAACCTTGGAGAGCGTGCATTCCTATGATAGAGGTAAAATATATTGATTGTGCTTGTGCTTCAAAAGTTGTTGCAAATCAAGACTCGAAAAAAGTGTCATCCAGTCATCTGGTACAAGTAGATTTTCCTTCTGGGCAAGTACCTTTTCATTCTCACTTGCCCTATAGGTAAGGAATCAGGCAAGTCATCTGCCAACTTAATCATTAAAAGAGCAAACTAAGACTTGCCAGGGCAAGCAGTATATGGGAGATACTTGTCCCAACGGTAAGCTGGAATACGAGTTTTTTTCGAGCCCTGCAAATGTGACCAAGTAATAACAGTGGTTACTGATAGGCCCTTTGCACGATCCGGTCACATGGNGTTTGTTTGTTTGTTTGTTTGTTTGTTTTAAATAGTGACAGCATACAGTCCTCTGGGATCACCTGATCGTCCTTGGGCAAAGCCAGGAGAACCTACACTGATGGATGATCCCAAGATGCTGGAGATTGCTAATAAATATGGCAAGTCCCCCGCCCAGGTCTGCATCCGTTTTCAAGTACAGAGGGGTGTTTCTGTTATACCCAAGAGTGTTACACCAGCTCGCATTGAAAGCAACTTTGAGGTAAGTTTGTTAATTAAAACATTACCCTGTTTACATATATACAGATTACCCAAAGCTGTTAGTAGTTAACAGTTGTGATGAGTGTCTTTCCAAAGAGACAAGAGCAAGGTGTCATCTCCCTGTCAATAAATTTCATTAATGTAATTATTATTGTCATTGCAATTATATAATAGTATACTGTTTGGGATACAGTTTTGAGGGAAAATCAAGTGCTGGCCTGAAGCCCAAGAAATTAATCCAAAGTTATAAATATATTTTTAAAACGTTTGGATGAAACTCAGCCCATCTTTGTAGTCTTCTAGATACTACTCAGCTGCGTTTCAGCTCGTCTTTGGGTGATAATCCCAGAAAGGGTCTATGAATCAACTTGTTATGCAAGATTCTTCCCCTCTTGGAGAGGAGATTAGCTGTGGAAAAGAATATTTAATACATACTATGGCTTAATTCAGTTCTAGTCTGTATTTCCGACATTTTTATGTAATTTTGAATACAGGTTTTTGATTTTGAACTCTCTGATGATGACATGAAGGTTATAGAATCTTTTAACAAACCCTGGAGAGCGTGTATTCCTATGATAGAGGTAAAACACAATTTTTTGTTGTAAAACACTATATTGATTGTGCTTGTGCTTCAAAAGTTGTTGAAAATCAGGGCTCGAAAAATGTGTCGTCTAGTCATCCGGGACAAGTAGATTCTCCTTCTGGGCAAGTACCTTTTCATTCTCACTAGCCCTATAGGTAAGGGATCAGGCAAGTCATCTGCCAACTTAATCATTGAAAGAGCAAACTGAGACTTGCCCAGGGCAAGCAATATTTGGGAGATACTTGTCCTAACGGTAAGCTGGAATACGAGTTTTTTGCGAGCCCTGCAGATGTGACCAGGTAATAACAGTGGTTACTGATTAGCGCTATCTTGCCCGCTCCGGACTACCTGGTGTGTCCGGCAAGAGAAATTTCGCCAAAAGCCATATAATAAATCCTTTATTTCAAGACCATGCTTGTTCAGTCAAGGAGGCTGTTCTTTTTTGTGTGAGTTTATGGACCTCGACTCTGTCTTGGCCAATAAATATGCAATAAAAAGAACTCTACCAATATCCAGCCATCTTGACCTCACGCTTGGTCAATAAATCGTGATTTAACAACAATTCTCTGAAGTGATATTAAGAAAAATGTATGGCTACTGGTATGGAGATTATTGATTTTGATTTGTTTTTTTTAGGAGAATGGCAAGAAAGTTCCTCGAGATGGCCATCATCCTCATTTTCCTTTCCATATTCCATATTAATATAATGAACTGAGGTTTTACTGCCATTTGTATTTATGTGATGATAGCAAAATAATAGTTTAGGTTTTCTTTCAAAAATTCACAGTGTAGAATGCTGTACCAATATAATTATTCTTGAATCTATGTAGAGAATTACAATTGCATGAAGTTGTGCTAATTTAAATTTTATAGTTTTGTAAGGAATTCGTGTACACTTTTTTCAGTTTAAATTAAGCCATCACTTCACTCATTTTACATTTTTGCTTGAACTTGATTGTTTTGGGGGAATGATATTTTGGGTGATGATTCAAGTGGTTTTAACCATCTTTCAACCTCCTCAGGAAAAAATCAAGAATCACAAGAAAGTAAAATTCATTGTTTCCTACAACACCACTTGTCATAAATGGTTGAAATGGGATAAAAATCGGTGAAACGTTATGGGGAAACTTGTTTGCCTTGAAACTAGTCCCGTGGAAGTGGCAACTAATTTCAGAAGACAACACAATTAAACAAACTGAATTGAATTATTTGGTGACTACGTATTTACCAATACAATTTGCTAATAAAGGATGTAGAATAAAGTTGGCATGAATTTTTTCCAAGTACAAATTTCTGAACCTTTATCTATATTTTTGATCTCCAGTCTTTCTCCTCTCACACGAATAGCTGCAACTGAAACTTTATTTGCAGAGATTCAATGAATAGGTTCAAACTCGGGGACAGACGGTATGTATTGATGGACGAAAGTGGCAGAAAATGTAGGGTTATGTGGCTCGGCGAAACAAAACTAAAAAGTAGGTAGCCACACGCACTACCTACACACTGCTTCCAGTGATTCGTCGCCGCAAGAAAACAAAAATCCTTATTGGAGTTGAGGCTTAGTTCTCTAGTTGAAACGCTGAAAAAGGATCTGGTGCGAGTGCAACCTCGTTTTCAGGGAAAAGGTCATAGCGAGTGTTGGAATGGAGGGAAAAACAGGCTGTTTTCCTACGCAGGGACATTGTTTGTAGTTTCCTTTTTCGGGAGATCCTCAAAATTCAAGTAAATTTTGAAACCGAGACTTTGTAAGAATGTTTTTCAGATTTGCGGCAGAGAAGGTTTTTTAGAGCAGGTGCCCTCAAATATTTGCATAAACGTGTGGAAACAATTTATTAAGAAACCACACCTACTTTTGCATTGAAAAATTGTTTATCTAAAAAATTCTTACTTTAGTTGTTACTTGATAAAACAAAAATCTGGGAAGTCAGTCAGTTGAAGTTAGAGTACAAGTTGTTAAAATTCTATTGTCAATGAATCGCGACCAATGGAAGAAACGAATAAAGATTTATTTAAAAGTACGTGTTATAATAGTTACATTTACCTTCGATGAATCGTGTTTTACAAACGAGGCGATTTCTAAACAAGGACGCTAAATTTTGACGCTAAGTTTTCCTGTAAGTTAAAGCGCATATGATTTTTATGAATCATCTAATTTTGTTTTAGAATTTTTTTTAATGATATGCTGGAAATGTTTTGTGTTAAATTACGTTACAAGGACGCTAAATTTTGACGCTAAGTTTCTCTGTAAGTTGAAGCGCAAAAGATTTTTTTGAATCATCTAAAAACCCTGTTTAAGAATTTTTTAATAATTGCTTGAAATGTCTTATATTATGTTAAATTACGTTTAGCTTTTCAACATTAACTTCCGTATTAAAGTTCCGAACTGACTTACACTTCACATAGTTTACAATAACTTTGTACATGCTTTTTCAGCTTAATTCGAATTTTCTTTCGAATTGAAATCATATTTAGTTGAAAATAATTAATATCTGTGAAGTTCATAATTAAAGTTAAGTTCAGTTAGTGCAGTAATTAGAACTGAAGAAACAGACTTGCTGGGATGTTAAAATGAGGACCATCTTGAATTGGAACACTGGCCGTGGATTCTCAGCTTGAAAGCGTGTAAACTCAGCTGCTGGAGGTTTATTTTCTCTGTGAGTGGATTCACTTCAACTCACCGGAAGGATTGAGTTGGATGGCGGCACAAATTCCCATTGAAGCAGAAAGAGTATGTACTTGTGTGAAAAGTGATTTTGTCTTAGCTTGTCCGTTTTTGTTTGTTTCGCTTTGTTAGCGAGGTCAAAATTTCATCTAATCTGTCGCTTCTTTGTGAGACTTGCTTGATTCTTCTTTTTCCTTGCTAACTTCAGATGATGTTTTTACCATTCTCTTGAGAAAAGAAACATACACAAAGGACAAAACGAAGACTGATCCAACGAAAACACCTATATCCACAGCAAGAAGCATGTTTCACCGGGGTAGAATAACTTAGCAGTGAATTACTTCGGAGTCCTGATAACTTCACTTTCTCACTTGTGCGCGTTCTTCTTTAACTCGACCTTTAGAGAAATGTGTTTTTCTTCCTAAATCACGAACGTGCTTGCATGCCCAGCGTCACTGTTTTCTGCTGAGCTGTTTTGCAAAGAACATTTATATGACGCAAGGATTTGAAAAACCGCGTTATAAAAACTTGATGACTTTTAACCACAGCTATACCCGTCAACTTCAAAATAAACACGCGAGAATTTTAGGAGAAAGTCAGAGTGTTTTCTACTATGTTTATCTCTTTATAAATAGCTCAGTTTTTAGTTATGCTTTTCATTTGGAGAAAACGCCGTAAGAGATAAGCTTACACTTCAACTATCCTTTAACGAGAAATACTCGCGGAGTCTCCCCAACCTCCTTTCCTTTTCTTCATCTACTTTCTTGATTAGCCTTGGCGCGGCATATATTAGAACTAAATAAACTTTTACTGAATAATGTTCCCACTTGCATGAATATTTGGAAGGAATGAATTCTTCAAAAATATCTAATGCTACGTGTAATGTTTACTGGAGTTGTTTTGAGTCTTTGCCAGCAAAATCGAGGAATTCATGAATATTAAAAATATTCTATGCACACTTTTATGGCTTACGCTGATTTATGCGGCAAAATGAAAGGAAAATACTTAGTGGCTAACTGACTGAAAGTGTTGCCCTCGTGATAAAATTTACCTGGTGCAAAGTTTTTTGCAAAAGGCGTGCCCGTTGTGCACGTGCGTTATGTATGATATCTGGATCATTTCTTTCCTCTGCAAATCAACGACGCAAAGATACAAATTTCTGTACATTTTGGAGAACGTGAACCACGAAAGGGGAATGTTTGGGTCTCTATTTTAGATCGAAACGGTGTCTTTACATGTTCAGCTTA